TAAGATTCTGTTGGTTGTATACAAGTAGGTTTTTTCAGGTCAGTTTTCCTTCCTTTGGTCACTCACCAGTTTCATTAGAAATTTTATTCTTAGAAATGAAAAAAATATAAAATAGGATATTATGTACTGATGTAAGTTGTGTCAGAATATTGTGACTCCAGGTTGTCAGTGCATACTTAATGGTGAATGCTATGGGTTAACCACCACCGTTGTAGAAGCCTAATCGGCAGAAAGAGGACCTGTCAGTGGAGTGAATGGAGAACTAGTTGAAGGAGAATTGTTGAAATTTTATTTCAGTGAGTATGTATGTGCTGACAACTGGGGATGTAGTAAATATGTTGTAATTTAGTGGATGTGACATAAAAGTATATTTTCAGTTTCACAGCTAAAGAGTACAAGCTATCTGAAGAAGCAAAATTTGAATGCGGCCGTGAAGCCAGCCGTGTATAGCTGCTGCTCATACAAGACGTAGAATCTTTGCTCTCCTGAAGTTTGTCTTTATACAAAGGATTTGTGGACTTTGAGTTTTCCCTTCGTATCAAGTAATTTTTGATCCTAGCTCTTTAAGAATATATAAGGGTTTGTTGAACTTTAACAAAGATTTAGAACTTTTTGAATTGTTTTGCATGATATAATCTTTCTGCTTTTGTTCGTAATTCATTCATGGAGTGTCTTTATATTGATACAATCTCCTCCCGTGAGCTCTCATGTTGATATACTTCCCTAGAGATTGGCAGCAATGGTTCCCCAGGATAAAATAAGTGCTTTAGAGGGTGGACTCCATGGCATTCTGTTCAGCTGAGGCCTCTCCCCCAAACTCTGGCTTCTGTAGAATCCACCACAAAATATCTAGGAATTTCCCAACCTGGAGCTGGCAACCCTAGTCAGGACTGGTCCCAATGAGTTCATCACAAAGGCCAAAGTAGGCCTGGAAAGGGCCTCCTGCCTTTGCCTTTTTACTGATAGAACCAAGCTTGGTTGTCTAGCAACAACCACTGAGGAAAAGGTTAGCCCCACAGCAGGAAGAGAAGAGAATGGTTTGAGGGCTGGTGGCCCACCTCAGTAGCCAGCCAGCTGGAGAGGAGCCAAGCAGGAGAAGTCTCTTCATCAGGAGAGACAACTGTTTTGGCAGTGGGCGGGAGAGAGGGGTTGACCCAGCACCCAGCCAATGGCACGTGAGTACTCTTGAGTGGCGGATGATGGGCCAATGGCTGATGGAGCACACAGCACAGCCAGTGGGAGAGCTGGAAAGTGCCAACACGCTAGGGCTTTTATCTATCTATCTATATATATATAGATAGATATCAGATGCCACTACAAACTAGGCTTTAGGCAGTTTTGAGACAGAGTTACTCTAACCCTCAAGTAGCACCCTACATGCTAGGGAAAAAGTTATATGCATTTCCGTCACAAATTTCTCATGTTAAAGTGTTAAAAGATTGGTATGCTTCCTACCTTAGACTGGAGGACTGGGTAAGAGTGGGGTAAGAGTGGACTGTAAACTAAATATGAGCAGTCAGTGTGATGCAGTGGTAAAAAAGGCAAATTCAGTCTTGGGTTGTATTAAAAGGGCCATAGCATCAAAATCGCAGGAGGTCATAGCCCCTATGTATACTGCCTTGGTCAGGCTGCACCTGGAGTACTGTGTGCAGTTCTGGAGGCCTCACTTCAAAAAGGATGTGGACAAAATCGAGAGGGTGCAGAAGAGAGCTGGTATAATGACACTGAGTCCACCATTTTCTCCAGAGGAACTGATCTCTGCTACC